ACTGTCTCATCACCCGGTATGGAGCGTAAGGCTGAATGCCTCAAAGACCCATTAGGAGGAAGTAAGGACCAGTGGCGGGCATATATACAATTTCTTCAACAGGAAGCCAACCCAGTGTCCATTCTATTTTCCCCGCAGTGATGGAGCGCAGGCGGGATACCCAATCTCCAAATCCTTCTAGTAACTTGAACCCTGAAATCCTTGTGTCAAACTCTTCAATGCATGTTTTCTCTGCGGACCCATAACTCATATACTGAGGGTGGTGACATAGGTGTTCGATCATCCATATTTGTATTAGCAAATTGCATCCCTTGAAGAAATCTGCCCCAACTTTACAAGCTGTGAGAGCTCGGTATACCTCAGATACTATCATAGGGGCAAGGGTGCTCTTGGCATTGGTAATCAAGACTTTGATGACTCCAGCCACCCGCAGATCGATATTCCCATCTTTTCAGGGAAATACCACGAGGCCTAAGAAAGCTACCATGAAAGCGAAACGCCTATGCTCATCCCATTTCGCTCGGTTCCCTTTGCTACAAACCTCACTTTCTGGGTCGTTGAATCCTCCTACATGACCATACCTCTGGTATATAAAACGTAGAGTGGACAAACCATCCTCCAACTCGGAGTACAGGACTCCCTTACTTATTTTTAGCAAATCCATGAATTTGCGAGAGTTAATGGCTCTTGGAGCGATCAGATACTTATGCCTCAAACCTTCAGTACTTCCCATATAACCTGTTATCTCTTCCAAGGTGGGTGTGAGTTCAAAATAAGAGAAAGGCAAGACGTTGTGAGCTGGGTCCCAAAACATAACCAACGCCTTTATGATGTCTCCTCTAGGCCTTATCTTCAATAACTCGGTGAGGCCTCCCAAATGTAGATTGACCTTATCTTGCTATGATTTACCTAGATCCTCCCACCACATATGCAACTCCAAAGGGATTTTGTTCATGACTGTTATGGACAAACTTTGACTTGTGCTCATTCTGCACATTTATTAGGGTGATTAAGCAAAATCAAGACTCATTTGACTCAAAACAAAGTTAACACTATTTTTCTCTCTTTTCTTTTCAAATTTTCATTTCAAAATAAAACCCGGCTTTGAAAATACGGCCTTTCAGCACTTCCGAGGAGAAGATTTTAAGGTTGTGCTTGCTAACCAGCCAAAATGTCAAAAAGGAGACCAAAGGTGGATGTTCTTGCAAAAACAGCCTTCCGGAGTCCTTTTGGGGACATTCGGCTATTTTCGACAAGAATGACTTCACCTTACTTATTTGCAATAAACATAAATTTTTTTGTTCTTTTTGGGCTATTTTTGCAAAAACGGAAGTTGGACCCGATGGGGGTTGCCTATGTATCTTACATCCGGTGAGAATCAAACTGGTGTAGTTCGGGCAATTTTGACAAAACAAAAACTAACTTTTATTTTTTTTTTTTAAAAACAAAACAAGAATTTTTCTCTGTTTTTTTCAAAATTTTAGCAGAGTTTTAGTATATTTTGGGACATCGGTTTTTCAAAAACAAGCAATTATCTCTCTTAGCCCTCACATTGACTTTCCTTCTCTCAACCTTTTCCCTATAAGCCGATCAACATGCAAATCCGAAGCAAATAAATGCACAAGTAGCAAGTAGGATGCATCAGGATGGTCTTTTCATTTCAGGTACACCTGTCCTAGACAGACCCAACCCCTGTGTTGAGTCTCCAAATTCGAATGNGGGCTGCGTACCGGTAACCAAAAGATCATCCGGCTTTGCAACTTGTCTGAACCTCGTTCTATTTAGGACATGACACTAACAGAAAGAAGCCACGACCAACATGCACTCCTCGGGAGAGAGAAGAGAGGGGTTTTGTAGCAGTTTATATACAGTTCACAGAATATCAAAGCGGTAAAAGTGGCATTTAGCACATTAGGCCCAAACATATGAATTAAACCAGATAATAAATAAAACCCAATATAACAATTCCTCTAAGCTCGAATTTTAAATCCTGAACTAGAGATTCTGGTTCGGTCCCCAGCAGAGTCGTAGAGCTGTCACACCTCCTTTTTCACCTACACCCCCGAGAAGGGGTGTATAAGGGAGTTTTTCCAATTAAAGGACAATCGAAACATGATTTATTATTAAAAGATTCAGAGTCTCCACTTGGGATAATTTATGGTGTCCCAAGTCACTGATTTCAAATCCCGAATCGAGGAAAGATTGACTCTGTTTTACAGTCCGCGAACACAGAAATCCAGGTAAAGAATTCTGTTAATTCGGGAGAAGGTGTTAGGCATTTCCGAATTCCGTGGTTCTAGCACGGTCGCTCAACTGTTATATTTGGCCTATTTACTTGATTTTAATACATGTTTTAGTCTATGGCGCAATTTTACTTTGTAACCACTTTTATTTAATTACTTTTTTAAGAAAAAATCCAATGCCATCTAAAACGCGTCTTGAACCAGGTCACATAAATGCACCTGCGACTCTCGACATATTTTAACTAACATTGTTGAGATTTTGATTTGGGTCACATAAATGCGCACCCGAGTTTAGGAAGGTAAATTGTCAAAATAACGCACCTAAAGCAACGATGAATTTGCAACTTTGCGAGGGCCCTGGAAATTCAACTAATGGCACGCCTCGATTCTAATTTCAAAGGATTGTACTCAAATAAAGCAAACTACGAATGTTCATAATTATTTTCTAAAGCTAATTTAAGATTATTTTGAGGCCAAGAGTTATGCATTCTTCTGACTTAGTACCACTCATGGCCTATCTTTATTCCTTGCCAAGAAAGAAACAACCCCAATTTTTCCATCTACCCAATTAAAAGCATTTATTCAAGAACCAAGACTACATACATCACAATTTAAATAAAAACTAAGGCATGCTACTCAAACAACATAGAATCACAAATCAACCAACACAAGCACCAAGCAATCATAACACAATGAAACGAGAATGAAAATTAAGAAATGGACCTTTTATTGGTGAACAACGTTGAAAATTGCAAATCAATCGCGCTAACAAGGCAACAATCCTTGGAACGAAACACCGATATTACAAACCGGAACCTCAAATCGACACCTTGCAGTGCAGCAAAGATCTTCAAGTTCTTGCATATCATCATCCATACTGAGAATCCTCGAAACCACTAAAACACAAGCAAGACCACGGTCCCATGAATGTAACTGGTTAATATGTGGAACTTTGCAAAAGTATGAACATGAGAGGACTGTATTGTGGCATTTGTTTGTACCAACTGATTCGTTTACAATGGAAGGACTCTATCAAGCTTAAACGATCCCTTCCAGATCCTTGAGTGTATTCTTCTTATGTCCTAGAAAACTTAATCAAGAGAGCATATAAAGGCCACATCTATTGTGTCTTATTAGCAAAGTTAGCAACCAAATAGTTCCTCAAATAGTTCACAAAATTAGCCTCTGGAATACTGCCTCAAATAGTTCACAAAATTAGCAACCAAAACTTGTTAACCGACAAACCCTTTGCAGCTCCTATTTTCGGATATATATATATATACCAATTTAACATAATCCCAATCACATAATTAGATCAAATAAAATTATCTGCATTTCACTAGTCTTACAAAATCCTAAGATTAATGAGATACAAAATTTAGCTGTGGTCCAAACTGGATCATTCAAATTCAACAAATACATCAAAAGAAAATTGATCCTCTTAACAACTCAACATCAATGATCAAATAACACCAAAAATTGATAAACAAAGTAAAATCACACGTGAAATCATGCTAACAAAGAAGTAGGGATCCATCAACAACATTTACCAAGCTATTGTCATAAAATGAGATAAGAACAAAAGAATCTTTTATAGATGCATCTGAGCTTCGATTCCTCGACAATTTTTGAAGCTAAAACACCAACAAAACTGCGTACAAGACCTCAACAGAAACTCGACCAAACCTCATCGAGCTCGGCTATAATGGACACCTCGACTAGATTCTTTGACTATGGACTGGAATGCTCGATGGTTATGGAGCATTTTCAGGCAGTACTTCTTGCCCTGTTCCTCTCATTCGTTCTTCTTGTGAGTGTGTGTGTATGTGTTTTGTGTGTCGCAACTGAAGTAAGGTCGCTAGGTTCGAGCGTGCCTAGGGTTCCGTTGGTGTTCTCTTCACGAAGAAGATGAAGCTCGGCTTCAATTAACAGAAACGGATGTTCCTGCTGAAGCTGAAGGATGAAGATGATGAAGCTCCAAGGCTTTGGAAATGTGAAGGATCTGAAAAAATCTAATGGGGGCGTCTGTGTTTTTATGAAAAGGGTGCTTTGTGTCTTCTGTTGCTCAAGAAGATCAAGAGTTGAGGGCTGCTGTGTGTAAAGATCGAGTGAAGAAGAAGCTGCGATGGGGGCTCCCTTCAATTAGCTCCCAGGCGTTATTTTTTTTATGAAAAAGCTGCACAACTTTTGTCTTTTTCCAGCCTTCTCCTCCTTTTTTTTAGATTTTAAGCATTACTTTATATGTAGAGTCTAGGTTTAGGTATATTTTTGTGTATTTTGCCAATTAGTCCCTGGTCTTTTTGTGTTAAGTCCTTAGGGTCTTTTTATTTATTTTTTGTTCTAAAGAAGAGTCTAGAAGGGTCCCGAGGATTAGCTTAATGGGTATTGGATATTGAGCTTAAGGAATGGGCTAGAAACTTGAGTCTTTATGACTAGTTATGTTTAAAATTAGCTTAATTAACTAAAAGTATTATCAAAAATATTAATTAGTTCTACTTAAGTAAAAATAATTATTAAAATAAGACTGGCCATTAAAACAAAACTATTATTTTTGGTATTTTTTTCAAGATTAAAAATGACTACAAAACATTAATGAGCCTATTTTTGTAATTTTTATTTTCTTGTAATAAAATAAAATTAAAAGAGTAAAATTAGTTGAAATAGCTATATTATGCCTAAATTAAACATTTATATGCTAAACTATAAAAATCTTAGGGAGGGTCAAAAATCACATGTCTACAGTATGCTTAACCAGGAAAGTTCTAGCCAAACCAATATCATGATAAGTTAAAGTCTAGATACAAAACTAGCATGAAACCTATTATCAACAGAATGAGTGAATACAAGAACAAATTATAGAATCAACTACTGAAATGCATAAAACAAAGGTAGATTCCAAATTACATCAACTGATATTAATGCTAGGTCTCCACATTCAATTAACATGCTTCAAGTTGAACTTCACATTTGATAGGATCCAACAGATACCTGGGACAGAGTTTAGAGCAAAAGAAAAATGAGGAAATCAACAGCAACAGGAGACTGTAAACCAACAATTCAGCACATGTAACCTCAGTTTCCTTAGACCATTTGTAACCCAGGTAACAGAAATTCTTTGAAAGTTTGGAAAATTCAAACTAACTATGAATAATCAAGAGCAGAACCAAAGCAAGCCTAACCAAAATGCAGGGAATTTTCAGTATTTTTTAGAGTGTCAAAGGCTCAGTCGTTTCTCAATTTTTAGTATTGTAATCCCTGCCTCTAAATGAAAGGAAATGAACCTTAAATAACCAGCTCCTAGGGCAACAAAACTGATTTTAGCCTTACCCCTTCCCCCAATTTCCTTTTTCATCTTAGACCTCAAGTTTTAGCCTATTTACTAAACCAACCCAATCCCCACCTTCCTGGAAATTTCCTAGGTAGTTTTAAAGATTCCCTCAACTTAAAATGACCAAATCAACCCTTGACACCCCTGTATTTACTTTCAAATTACTAACCTGGGTCAAGTTAACCCAAGACCCCAAATGAACAGGTCTCTTAACTGGGTCAGTGATGACCACAGTTAATACAAGAACCCAAAACATCACAAATAATTGAACAAAGAAGATCATATTCAGAAAAAGAAAATAAGTAATAATTCAAAACTTTACGATTAAACCTAATTTTAACTAAGAAATTAAAACGAATTCCATTATTAAAGAAGACGGGACAAAACAATGAAGCAAATAAAAATAAAATAAAAAAAACAGAAAATATTACAATGAACAAAATCATGAAAAATAAGAGGGGAAAGTACCAAATCCTGCCGGAATGTCCCGACAATATGAAATGAATCGACGAACGATGACGGGAGTAGACATTTCGCCGGAATCTGATGAGTTCATCAAAATCCAGCATCCTCGGAATGAAATAAAACCAATGCTAATCGATTGTTCTCGTTAAGAGCAATCTACTAACGTAGATTATAGGTCAAAGCGAGCCGGAGATCTACTCGAATTTACAAAACTAGAATAAATTATGGTTTGAATCTCTAGATCCAGAATTGGGGGAATTTCGTTGGGGTTTTTGGGAAATAAATGTGAGGATAGGATTTAGGAGGTCCTGGGGGTTGCGTGGTATGAATTTGGGGTGATTTGAAGTTGTGCCGCCACCGGAGATGGTGAGGCGTTCTAAGGCGACGCTAGGGTTTTTTAGTCTTTGATTATGAGAGAGGGGAGACGAGGAAGATTGAATTGGGGTGGGGGGGTGGGGGGTGGGGTAGGGATCGTTGAGACACTAATATACTTAATGGACCTTAGTTCCCAACCATTAGATCCATGGAGATCAACGGCTGAGATTCTAAGAGGAAAAACGGTGTCGTTTCTGATGGGGGAGGGAAAGCGGACCGGGTCAAGGGATTGGCCTAGGAAGATGGAAAGATTGGGGTATATTTTAGGCGGATTCTCAAGTAAACTGACCCAATTTCAAATTCTCAATTTCTTTTTTTTTATTTTCCTTTTATTATTATTTTTCTTTTCCTTTTCAATTAATTAAAACCTAAATTAAACTCTTCAACTAAACTAACTTACACAATTAAACTAATAATCCACCATAATAATTATAAAAATTAATTACTCCTAAATTAAAAAAAATTACTAATTAAAAATTAAAAGGCTAAAAATGCAAAAGTGATTCATTTTTTGTGATTTTTCATTTCTATAAAATAACTAATTTACCAATTAAGCTAAAAAAGTAAAAATAAACCCCAAATTCCATGCAAAGTATTTTTTGTATTTTTTCATGATTTAAATAAAATAAACATGCACAGACAAATGCAAACAATTAACAAAAAATCATATGAAAAATATACAAAATTGCAAATAATGGGAAAACATTATTTCTTAGAGTTTATGGGAGTAATTCATATAGGGAAAAAATCACATGCTCACAAGCCACGGTATGTTCCTCTTTCTTTTGGAGTGCATACGATGTTGTTGTGAGACTGTTTTTACATGATCATTTCTCCTTCGAGTTACCATGTTTAGGTTGAAGCCTTCTTCCTTATTTCCTCAACTAGTCTTTTATTGTAGTACATACGGAGGACTCTCTGACTCTTGTAAAACTGCGAGCTTATTTGTAACGACCCGACCGATCGTTTTAAGAATTAATTCCTCGATCCCCTATTAACTGCTTTCGCCGTGTTTGTTTCTGCTATTTTGATTGGTCGAGATATTTGGTTTTGAGTTTCGGAGTATTTTGGGACACTTAGCCCCTAAAAAAGAGCTTAAACTTTAGAATTTGGACCATAGCCGGAGCAGTATGAAGACGTCTTCTGAATAGAATTCTGTCAATTCCGTTAGCTCCGTTGGGTGATTTCGGGCTTAGGGGCATGTTCAGATTGTGTTTTGGATGTTCGTAGCTTATTTTGGCTTGAAATGTCGAAATTTGAAATTTTGGAGTTTCCAGTTCGATAGTGAGATTTTGATATCGGGGTCGGAATGAGATTCCAAAAGTTGGAATAGCTCTGTAGTGTTGAATGTGGCTTGCTTGCAAAATTTTAGGTTATTCGGACGAGGTTTAATAGACTTTTTGATCGAAAGCATAATTTAAGAATTTTTGGAGTTCTTAGGCTTGAATTCGATGTTAAATTGGTATTTTAATGTTATTTTGAGTGTTTAGAAGGTTGGAAAAAGTTTTAATGATGTTTTAGGATTGGTTGGCATGTTTAATTGAGGTCTCGGGGGCCTCGGGTGTGTTTCAGATGCTTAACGGGCCATTTTTGGACTTAGAAATTGCAGAAAAATTATAGCAGGTCAGTTCTGGTTTCCTTCTTCGCATTTGTGAGTGGGGTCTCGCATTCGCAAAGAGGAGTTGGGGGTGGTGGAGGTTTAATGCTTCACGTTCGCGAAGGTGTTCCCGCGTTCGCGAGGCTGTGAGGTCTTATACCTACGCGTTCGCGAAGATGGTCCCACGTTCGCGTAAGAGGGGGGGAGATGGTTACCACGTTCGCGACAGAGATATTGCGTTCGCGATGAAGGAAGACTATACCAAGCGAAATTGTGCTTCGCGAATGCGAGGGTCCTTCCGTGTTTGCGAAGAAGGAATTATCTGGGCAAAATATAAAATTTCAAAGTCGAGGGTTTGGCCATTTTTATCAAAACTAGAGCTTGGGAGCTCAGATTTGAGCGAGAGTTTGAGGGATTTTCAGAGATATCGATTGGGTAATGATTCTTAACTCCTTTTTGCTTATAACCCATTAATCTAAACATGAATTCATCATATAATTTCGGATTTGGGGAAAAATTTGGAAAAGTTCTAAGACCTAATTTTCGAGTTTTGATTAGGAATTTGATATTGTATTTGGATAATTTTGGTATAGTTAGACTCGTGAGTGAATGAGGGTTCATAATCCGTAAATTTTACCCGATTCTGAGACATGGGTCCGGGGGCATTTTTGTCATTTTACCTAATTTCACGTATTAGCTTAGAATATATTTGTGGAATCAGTTACTTGAAGTTATATTTACATTATGCAATTTAATGGAATAGATTTGGACCATTTGGAGTCGAGTACTCATTGCAAGAACGTGGTTTCGGGTTGATTTTGAGCCGATTCGAGGTAAGTGGCTTGCCTAACCTTGTGTGGGGGAACTACCCTTAGAATTTGGTATTGTTGATATTTGAAATGTCATGTACGTGAGGTGACGAGTGCGTACTCGTGCTAATTATTGAAAATCCTATTTTCATTAAGTAACTCTAATTGTGTTTCCTTTCCTGCTTATATTACTTGCAATTTAAGCCTGCTGTTAGCATAGGGAAGCATGTCTAATTGACTTAATTGCTTTATTTGCTCAAACTGCCTTAATTGGATCATGTGTAGCATGCTAGGTTAGAAATACCTGTTTTACCTTGGTATGAAATTTGAACTGAATTGAGTATTCTCCGTATTGCTGTTGTGTGTTTACTTTGGGACAACGGGACGGTATCACGGGAGATCCCCCTGCTTGTTTACTTTGGGACTACGGATTTGTATTTCGGGAGGTCCCTTTCACCTATATTGATTTGAATTGTAGTGCGGAATACCGAGAGATCCCCAGAATATATATATTGAGGATACTAAGAGATCCTCAGGATACTGAGAGATCCCCAGCACACATATTGAGGATACTAAGAGATCATCGGGATACTGAGAGATCCCCAGTTGTTATATCTGTGTTGAGCGGCATTGTTTTTGTGATTATTTTGTTTCTGTTATAGTTGTTGTTATTCTTATTTATCCTGTGTTACTTCTTACTATTAGCATTTAATTATATTATCGTATTCTATAATGTTTTACCTCGTTTTTCAGCTATAATCAGTAGGGCCCTGATCTTCCTCATCACTACTCGACTAATGTTAGGCTTGGCACTTACTGAGTACCGCTGTGGTGTACTCCTGCCCTTTCTGCGCATGTTTTTCATGTGCAGATCCAGGTACTTCGACTCAGTCCCATTGCTCTTGAGGCGAGGCGATTCTCCATAGACTTCGAGGTATATCTGTCGCGTCCGCAGACCGAGGAGTCTCTTTCCATTCTCTCTCATAGTATTAGCCCTTCTGTATTTACTTTTGTTTAGACATTTAGAAACTTGTAGTTATTCAACAGCTTGTGATTTCATGAGATTCCGGGTTGTGGGAAGTTGTTCAGTTTTTGAGATCTTGTATTAGTATATGACGAGCGACATCTTAAATGTTTCTATATTTGCTTATCTTCAGTTTTTATTAGTTTTTCCACAATTGTTAGGCTTACCTAGTCGTAGAGACTAGGTGCCGTCACGACAGTTCAGGAAGGGTGAACTTGGGTCGTGACAAGTTGGTATCAGAGCTCTAGGTTCATAGGAGTCATGAATCACAAGCCGGTTTATTAGAGTCTCGCGGATCAGTACGGAGGCATCTGTACTTTTCTACGAGAGGCTATGTAACTGTTAGAAAAATTCCACTTCATTTGATTTCCTTGTCGTGCGAGATTTTTG